CGACCCATTCGTGCAACAACTACACTACTAACACAGCTGCAGCATGGCTCTACCACGTACCACGTAGTTTTATCGCGTACTGTGAAATTTACAAGGGCCGCTTATCCCCTGAGTTACCACGGCTTTGAAACGGCTCGGTTATGAAAGATGTTAAAAATTAATAAGCTAAGTTTCCCGTGATTAAATAAAATGATATGTCTTATCTAGTTTAAAGTGCACTTCTCGCACTACCTCAATTGCCTGTACTGTCCTCGTTACCACTAATTCTAGCACTACTGCTCCCAACACCATTACACTAGTACAATATATAATAAGATATTGTACTAGTGTAATGGTGTTGCGATAATAATATATAACTAACTAATAAAATAAAACTAATGTATATGATTATTTGTAATATTAAATAAAATGTAACATAATAATAGTAATATATAATAATAATAAAATGTAATATAATAAAAAATGTAATATAATAATAATAATATATAATAATAATAAAATATAATAAAAATAATATTTTGTATATAATTTATGATAAATAATAACATAACTTGACATTTTTGTAAGTGACAGTTTTGTAATAAATAAAATTGAAGTGTCTGTTTGTAATGTCAAAAGAACAGTTTTTTACTAAATCCATATGAAAGTAAATACGGTACTTATAACTAAAATACAATTTTTAAAATTTTTGTCTGTCTGTCTCACAGATCTAAGAAACAATAGTGTGTTGTTTCTATGATCTGTGGTCTGTCTGTTTGTTCCGGCTAATCTCCGAAACGGCTGGACTGATTTTGACGGGACTTTCACTGGCAGATAGCTGATTTCATAAGGAGTAACTTAGACTTCTTTAATTTTATAAAACTAATTAGAGTTCCGCACAAAAACATAAAAACCCTAACACGCGAGCGAAGTCGTGGGGAACAGCTAGTTTGAAATAAAATAATATTTCTTTCATGGCAAGATAAGAAAAAGTTCGAGGGAGATGGATATTATTCCATCAGACTTCCTTATTTCGCCGCCAAGGTTGTCTACACTATGACACAAGGGGTAGTAACGAAAAAATCACACCTTTTGTCGCCTAGCTCCCATCCGCCAAACCCGTACCGTCCGATAAGGAACTTCGTTCCAAAAATTGCATAGCCCCCTCATCAACCCGTTAATAGTTCCCTATATACAGCTAGACTTGGTTATCTGCTATAGTAACGAGGATTTGCCACAATCGCCACTCTTGGCTCCTTGACAAGCGACTTGCCGTCGTAGCCGGTTTAAGGATTTGATAATCTAGTATAAATAAGAGATACGACGTGTAGTAACGTCCCGTAGGTGTCGTAAGAGGCGATAAAGTGAAATTAAACAAAAGACGGGCACCAGCGACTTTTTGATAACAACTGAACTTTGCCTACTCGTCTACTAAGTATAATAAAATAAAAATGAGAGCTAATAATTTTCTGCTCACCAGATGTCGCTAGTTGACACAGGTAAAGTTTTTTTTGTTACACAATGTAATTTAATTGGGAAGTTATTTTTAATAAACGTTTATCAGTTTCTAGAGTATTATATTAATACACAAAACAATGCGTCAGTAGTTTGCTCTTTAATTTTTTGCACTTTTTTAACTTTTTTTTATTCTTCTACTTTTATGAATAAGGTAACCTGTCCAACAATGAGCCACTAAAATTTTAGAACTTAATAACATCGCTTTTTCGTAAGATATTAGATATAAGTTTTTAGACGAAGATAGCAAATTTAATTGGCTATAGACTGGCATTATTACTTTTCTCAAAATATTTATAGATATTTTATGACTAAGGTTTTTTTAAAAAAATGGGAAATGATTTATTACGTGGTAGAGCCATGCTGCAGCTATATTATGGTTGTAGCACGAATGGGTCGGCTCGACCGGGGAAGGACCACGCTCTCACAGAAAACCGGCGTTAAGTGGCAGCTTAACGCTGCTGTGTTTCGTATGGTGAGTGTAGAGAACCGGAGACCCTTTTTGCTGGCAAAGAGGCATTCCATCTTAGTCCTAACGGATGACAACGCATCTGCATCTTGAGTCTTTATAGAGGATAGATGTAGATGTCTATGGGTCACAGTAACCACTTGCTATCAGGTGGACTATGTGTTCGTTTGTCACCCGATCCTATAAAAAAAAACACAATGAGCCTAGCTATATTTAACAATGAACCAGCATCCGATGTACTTACTATTTTGTACTTTTGGCAATGAATTTGATAGTTACATTAATAAAACGGTGCTTCTTGCTTATAACCTTCGTTTTATTAGTTTATTTTAATCATAATCAAACAATACAGACCATTTTCTTTTTATTTCGAGTTAGTTTTATTAAAGTAAGAGAAACTTAAACAAAAATTAAGGTTTTGAATAGTTATAAAATCAACAAAATTATTATCAAACACTAAAAAACCAGCTTAGTCAATTTATTTTATTATCAGTAACTTTATTAAAAACAATCAGTCTCATAATCATGGTCATTTTTATTACAGCCCTTCACAAGTCCACTCTTGTACATAGGCCTCCCCCAAAGGATTACTACAAAGTACAGTCCTGAGCCACCTGCATCCATCGACTTCCTGCATGTCTTACCAAGTCGTTATTCTAATGTCTTACCAGGTCGTCACTCTCATGTCTTACTAGGTCGTCACATCTCCACCACCATCCTCTCTTTGTTAAAAACGGCGGCAACAAGCAAGCCTGCAGGCTTCTCGTTTTAGCAATGACAAATTCGGATTACTTGAAAATTAATTATGGAAGCCATTCAAGGGCTGCCATTTTCTCGCGATTCCAACTATCAGGAGTGTTTATATTATTTATAGTTGCCATTTGATAAGCACGGCTGCGGACGTCTTTAGTGGATAATCCATAAAATTTTAATGTAAATTGTTTGAAATATTCTTTCAGTGCAATTTTTCGATAATTTGTTAATATATTGTTGACATCATCATTGCTGGTTTTGTAAATACGCGGTACAGTTAAATTTTTTTATATAAAGTTGTAGTGTCGGATATCATAAGTTATACTCCTTATCTGCCTTTCTGATGCTTCATCTTTGGCTATATAGTTTGATAGCTTGAAGTATGTTATCAGCAGTGTGGTTACCCTTTTTGCTTTTGTTAGCTTTAGTGCACTATAATATATAATCTAAAATTAAAAAGTGAAAATGACAATGAATCAGTAAATCTATTACATGTAGTGAAAAACAAAAGAAAAAGCTTTTAGTGGACGATTGATGTAGTTACTAAACAACACGAGCAATGGGCCACATGGTAAATATTGAAACTCGATTAGTACTCAATGAAACATGGCTCATTGTGTACAACGTGGTTCTGTTTCATTGTGTGCTATATGCCATATATTTCAATAACCTTAAAATAAAAATGTAAAATAAAAACATTCTAAGTATGTTTTGTACGTAACTGAAATCTGTAATACATGTACAATGTCATGCAATATTAAGATAAAAAGCAAACTCTAACACAAAATAATGAAAAATCGACGAATATCAATGAAACATCTTACTTTTTTGCGTAAAATCGGTTAAATCACCACTGTACGCCTGTTTCGCACGCGCCGCATCCACGAACTGGGGTATTGGGAGGAGTCTTGGGGCCGCATCTTTAAATGTACTGTGCAATATCTAATAACGTCGCATTTTTGAAATATTGAAATGTTTCATTGTGTACTACTGGCTCAATGTTGGACAGGTGACCCTATGTGTGGTTTTGTTTATTTATTTATTTTATATCAGTATAAAATATAGCTAATAGTACAGAAAGAGACAGTAACTTATACATTTTCCGAACAAATTAACTTCCCCGCTATGAAATCTTTCAAATATTGTACCTCACTTTCTAGTGGCGCCGTCCTGGTGGCAAAAAAGTCGTGGATGCCCTTTAGGTGTTTACACAAAAGTTGACACACTAGACTCTCGAGTTAACACAATTGACTGCCTCGTTGGTCTAGTGATGGTAGTAGTGCAGCTGCTGATCTTGAGGTCCCTGGTTCGAATCCCGGGTCGGGCCAAAAAATCAGTTACGGAGTTTTTTCATTAAAAAATTCTCAGCTCTCCGGTCGTGTCGATTTGCCGTCCCATGGGACTATGAGAGTGAGGGAATAAAAAGTGCACCTGTGCTTGCGCTTACACTTGCGCACTGTAATCCTGTGCTTCGCAGACGGCGCATTCTCCGTTGAGGCTGGCCGCCGTGACCGAAATTCGCTCTAGAGATCCATAGAGAACATTATTAATATGCTGTGGCAAGGTTCGGTAGTAGATTTTAGGATTTTGACATTAATATAAACCAAAACTGAACAAAATGTTGTCGTCTTTGGAGTGTGTGCTGCAAAAAACCTGACTTATATAAGTTTGTAATGGAATAAAACTTATATATTATTTTATTATTTTTATAAGAGCACGTTTTATATATAGTATTTTTTATGTATTTTTTGTTGATATAATAGATATAGGTTGTTGATAACACAGAATAAATAATAGTATTAATAATAACTTTTAGGTATTTATTACGTGGTTTTATTATGTGATAGAGCCATGCTGCAGCTTGGTGTTCTACTACCTCGTTAATCTTGAAACGACTGTATACAGTGCTTTAACACCTTGAAACTAATTATAAATATTAGATTCCATGAATCCCTACAAAATGTACAACTAATAGTAAAATACACATTAATGTAACATATCTTTATTTAAAAAAAAATGATCAAACCTAAATTACACTATCAGTCTTAAGTTTACTGGTTGTTTAATAATATCCCAAACTAAAACTCACAGTCACAGACACCAACCATATCTGAAACTAGATTATATGATTATGATCATTACTTTTAGAACCTATGGTATTCTACAGATAGCCGCGCCGCGCACTAGTATGTATTACACATTATGTTAAACTACGAACGTAAAATTTCGAACGAAAAACATTAATCGAATCGAATCGAAGTATAATTAAATTTTATATGAGCGATTACGAAGATTTTTCACCATCGGAGCTAGATTTTTCCTGGATTGGAATATTTCTTTCCTCCAACGCTTCCGCTCTAAATGCAATCAGTTTTAATTTTCCTTTATCGAGATGACACTCCACACGCTCTGGAGGAAATCCCTCAGGAAGAAGGAACCGCCTCTCGAAATGACTTCTTGTCCAGCCACCATCCCTCTTGATCTCCTTCTTTCCTTCCACCATTATTTCATTGCCAACAGTTTTCACCGCAATCTGATCTGGTGTGAAGTTCTGAACGTCCAAATGCACTTCCACTTTCTTCCCGTCTACTTTTATCTCAGAGTCGGAGTAAACGCCTTCAATTCCTTGGTGTTGCTGTTCTAACGGCGCTGTTAGTTGTTTGACATACTTCACCGGATCACGGAAAAAGGGATCTCGGGTGATCAAACTGAACGGATCCTCTAACGCTCGAAGTACCGGATCGCGATACGCCGCATTCCTCAAATGTCGCAGCCAATACGGCATAAGTGACATTTTGTTATTATTTTCTGTACTTCAATCACTCCCAAACGGAACACCTTTTTAAGCGCTTATTTGTTTTTCACTGACGGTAGCGTCGCAAACTTCCGTCTTTATATATTCTAACGAACGACGGCCTCTATTGTCAAGAATATACAAGAATAGTCGCGAACATTCCAGTAAAATATACACAGGATTAAAATAAATAATACAGACATCTAGTGACAAATAGAAAAACTTTTAACTGTTTTGAAAGTTTGAGTTAAATTAAATTTCGCTAATACATAAATATAAAATAAATATCTGGTTTAGAAAATATATAAGTAAAAAAGGTTATTGAAATATAATTTAGGTGTATACTTTTGCTTAAATTATCTAAATTGGCTGCAAGTTAATACGTAACATTCTTGTGGATCGTTGCTACGCCATCTATTGTCAAGTAGAAAAGTTAAAGAGCATTAACTAGAACATTCAAGAACTTGTCAAATGTAAGGTGGTTTATTTACGTGTTATTATAATAAAACGAACATTTCATACTAGCATGTAATATAAACTACTTTTTTCTATTGCTTTAGTAATTGTATAAACAAATACATAAAATGATTTTAAACCAATTTAAATGTTGTAATACTTGTTGATCGTTGCGCAATTGTCACGTTAGATTGCGCAACAGCTACGAAGGAGATGATGCAATTTCATTTTATAATTAACAGAGATTGAGGATATATCAATAGTAATTTAGAAAATTATTAAACATAGTCTTCATCCACTCATTCCTATAGAAAAGGTACAAACTAACAAACAATAATAAAACGAAGTGGAGGACGAACCCCCCGCTAGATGGAGTGACGATCTGCTAAGATATGCAGGAAGTCGATAGATGCAGGTGGCTCAGGATCGTGCTTTGTGGCATTCTTTGTGGGAGGCCTACGTTCAGCAGTGGACTTACTGGCTGTAATGATGATGATGATGCCAAAACAATAAGTAGGTCATTGAAGTAATATGAAAATATATTTATATTTTTATTTATTTTATTCTTTATTGCACCAAATATTTGTACAATGGCGAGCTTAATGCTTTATGGCATTCTCTACCAGCTAACCTTGGGTAGAACAGAGAGTGAGTTTGAGCAGTTAAGTTTTTATGATCAAATTCAATTAAAATATAAACATGCAATGCACATACATTTGTACATATATATATATATATATATATATATATATATATATATATATATATATGAATAAATGTATATAAATAACTATAAACGTATAAAAGTAAGTTGACTCAACTTTATAGGCTACAGATATGCTCGTATAATTTACTTTTAAAAATATTTTTCCATATCCTGTATTGTTCGTAGGTCAACAGGTAATTTGTTATCCATTTAGTCTGGGTATAGATATATGTAGGTACATAACGCCACCAACCATTTCTTTTGTGTTCGAATAGGAAAATTAAAAGAAAAACGAACTGTGACAAATAATCAAAACAAAATTTATTTAAACTTCTGTTTGTCCAACCGATGACTGATACCTTACTATTAAAGCCTTTCAAAAGTCCACTGCTGAACATAGGCCTTCCCATAGATTGACTCATAGAAGGATGTTTGTTGTAGTTGCCACGCTTGGTAAGCGGGTGTACAACCGCAGTTTTTTTTTATTGTTATTAGGAAGATGCTGATGCCACGGGATGTTATAGGGTAGTGGATAGTCTTACACCACCACTACACGCCTGCTTCATGACTGATGAATAACCTTACTTTAGCTGTAAATTGCAACGATCATTTAAATATATTAAGAGTTAAGTATTGTCTTATGGCAATAACTATTATAGATTCTAGGTTCACTGACTGAATTCGGTAGTATATACACATAGTAAGTATATACATATAATGAAAATAAAAACAGAACAGTAATATAGTGACACTGTCTTACCCCGATTGAATTGACGCATTCGTAATACAACCCCTATATATTATTTACAGTATAATTACTGTTTAGTTCCATCGCCACGTTGCCATAAACTCAGGAAATGCACGTCACACTTACGACGTTGATATCGATGCAACAGAAAAAACTTTATTGGTTCTTTTTTATAAAATGATGGTAAGTAGATACTATGACCCACAGACATCTACATTTATCCTCGATTAAAAAAGAACTAAGATGAAATGCCTCTTTTCTAGTAAAAATTATCTCCGATTTTCTACAGTCACCTTACGAAACAGCAACATGTGGGCTGCTGTTTTACGTCCGAGAAAAAAAAACCTAATCACTTATGCTCCTTACTGACGAATATATGAAAAGGATTACAAAAGAGCGAAATCCAATGTTACTTCGTAAATTATTGTACTTGGCACATGAATAATAGTCACGCTGCAGCGTACAGGCCAACAAAAACGAAGGACGGAGCGCTGCCTTCACTTCAAGTGACACAAAAACCAAGCCAAAACCATGCTCAACTTATTTTAAGAACACGCGCTCACATATGCATCTAAAATCATTTGCAACCAACAACATGGTTTTAGGAGTATATGTGTGCGTCTAGCAGTAAAAAAATTTGGGCTAGTAAAGAAATACGGAAAGATGTGTTTGTGATTGTATGTCAAGAAGTTGAGCATCGCTTCAGCATCAATTAAAATGTGTGAAAGTAATTAATACTTTTACCGAGACAAGACTATCTTTTACTCGTTTTATTGTACCAATGAGGGCTAATAATTTTCTGCTCACCAGATGTCGCTAGTTGACACTGAGGTAAAGTTTTTTGTTACACAATATCATTTAATTGAGTAGTTAGTTTTTAATAAAAGTTTATCAGTTTCAAAAGTATTATATTAATACACAAAACAATGCCTCAGTGGTTTGCTTTTTAATTTTTGGCAAATTTTTAACTTTTTTAAATTTTTCTGCTTTTATAAATATATGTGATGTGCTTTATTTATTTTTAATCTTATTAATACAAAATATAGCTAATACCATAAAAAGAAACATTAACCTTTACTGTCAAATACGAGTATGCCGCCCTGGTGGCAGAAAAAGTCGTGGATGATGAGCTGCGATGATCATAGGGTGAATATTGGGTCATAGTCATTAAATTATTTTATTGTCATCGGTCCTTGATACGAGTGCAACTTATCAAGTCTATCAGCCGTATACAAGTTGGTGTCAATTACATACATAGATAGATAGGTAGATACTCGCGAAGCTGAAATAAAAAATAAAAGCGTGTTAAAAATGGACTGACTAAGGTTGGAGTTTTTTCATTGCGCTGACGATGGGTATTAGTGGGTATGGGTAGGTATTAAATATTAATCATCAGTAAAATATTCTATTTTTTTTTTATAGGATAAGGGTGACAAACGAGCACACAGTCCACCTGAGGTAAGTGGTTGCTGCGGCCCATAGACATCTACATCTATCCTCGTTTGCGAATCAAAATGCATATGCGTTGCCACCCGTGAGGACTAAGATGGAATGCCTCATTTCCAGTAAAAAGGGCCTCCGGCCACCTGCACTCACCAAGCGAAACACAAAGGTAAACCTCTACTTCACGCTGGTATTCTGTGAGGTCGTGGTACCACCCCGGTTCGAGCCGGCCCATCCGTGCGACAGCAAAAGTTGCCGCGTGGCTCTACCACTGTTAAATTGTTGTTTATGCACTGCACTGTTATTTATGCATCCAAAAAAAATAACATAATTTTTTGTAAAGAATATAGGAGCTCAGGTCTACTCTATCTTTTATCCCTTCTCTACCATTGAGTTATATGTACTACGTACTAGAGAAGCCATTCCAAACAAAAATTGTGTCTTACTCTATGTCATCGCGCATGCGCGGGAGTAGTAGTTGCGCAGGCGCGAAGACTTTAATTTAATATAAAATAAGATATTAATATAAAATAAATATAAGAATTTAATGTAAAATATCTTAATTTAATCTAAACAAACATATTTCTAAATAAAATGTAATAATAATTATTTTATGGAAATCACAAATCTTCAATTTACGCAATATTTAGTTTGTATGGATTGCACTACAGTACAGTTGAACATAGTCAATGTTCGGAATGGCTTCTCTAGTACGTAGTACATATAACTCAATGTTCTCTACCTTTTAAAATTTTTATTTAGGTCAAACAACAAGATTATCTTTTGTTTGGCGCTGGCATTGGGTTAAAATGTATTAATATAATTCAGAATTACAATAAACTGAAAATAATAATATTGGAGCATAGACAGGTCTAATCTATATTTTATCCACTCTCTATCTTTTAAAGTTTTAAAAATAGACAGTAGTAATAGAGCAAAGTTATTTAATTTTTTTGGTCTTTGCTGGCTACGGGCACAACCTGGGCAAAACCGTAGTAATAGTGATATATTATATTACGGTACAATCAATAAACAATATTTTTAAGATTCAATTAAAGAAACAAAAATAACAAACGTGAACGCAGTCCACCTGATTGTAACTGGATACTGTGGCTCATTAACGTTTTTCGAGATATAGATTCGACAATTATTTTTCTATCCCTTTTGAGTCGACTATTAAAATTAAGCTTTTAATAAAAAGTAAAAACCAACTTCAAAACTAAAAAGAAACAAATAATTTCCACATAATATAATTATATAGATCGGTCCTCGGACAGACAGTATACAGACAAATTACAAAATACAAATTTTAAACTTAGGTTCAAATATATAAATAATAATATACCGTTCATGCAGTTTTTTAAAATACGAGTAAATAAGGCTTCTACTTTTATTTGAAATTAACCCAAATTGAATTTTATTTATGAGCAATAACGTTTTTGCCTACCGATCGACCCTTACGAATGTATGCGTGCGCAGTAAAATCAGTTATAATTACGAGTATTTAAATTTAAAAACTTTGTACAACCGACTTCAATATAAATTATTAAGAATAAATCAAAAAACTATTGGTCAGACCTTGATCAAATTTATGTGGGACAACATGAAAAGCCGTTCACCCAGAAAAAAATGATGAGGTAACACAAA